CTGACAGACAGACACACAGCACACGAGCAGGGCAGGACACACAGCCCCTCTCACAGCTCCCCATTTCCCACAGGATGGGGCAGCACACCGTGGCCAGCACTGCCTGGCTCTGCAGTGCCAGGGGCATGGGAGGTGCCCAGAAACTGCCCTGCTCCCCACAGTGTCTGCACATTCGCACTGCAGGTGCTTCTGAGGGAGCAGCAGACATCCCCATCTCCACACAACTGGTGTTTTTCACAACTGTCAGCAGGTCCTTGGTGTGAGGGTTGTGGGCTGTGGCTTGGTCACTCACACAAAGAGCAACAGCAGCACTGACAATGGATGGACTGGGGAAGCTCCTCCTAGGCCAGACAAGCCTGAGCCATTTGACAATTCACCCAGAGGACAACCAACACCAATTCCACCTTGTCCCACTCCTGTCTGGTGCACTAACACACAACTACAGCAGGGAAGGAGAATGTAACCAGCTTTGTGTGTGCCCACCTCACCTGGACACCCTGAGCACCACCAGCTCACCCACCTGAGCTGCAGCAGGAGACCAAGGGCAAGAGACAGACAAATATTGAAGCAGAAGATTTAAATTAAGGCAGAAGGTGGGGGAAAGCGAGGTTCTGCTGTGTGAGCACATCTAAAGGGGGGTTTTCAGGAGTTAGGCATTAGAAGGAAGAAAAAAACAGTGAGCAAGCAACACATTGCGACTCAGAAAGGAAATCACCTTATTCACTCCAAGAAAAGCTGTGATTGCTGGAAGTTTGAGAAAGCATGAAGATAGTGGATGTTCCTGAGGAAGGAAGGCGCTTCGTTACCTAGTTCACAACAGCACAAAAGACAGAAAATTGCAGTACAAGAAAGAGAAAGGCAGAAACCAAGGAAAACACAAATGCGCCTTGCAGTTAAAAAAACAAACAGAACCAAAACAAAATAAAAACAACCACCACGTTACCACACAGAAAATTTAATAAAGGCTGAGCAGAGCTGATGTGCTGTTATAGGACACTGGGGGTGAAACCCTGTTCCATTGGGATCAAGAGCAAATGCCCAACAACCTGGCCTGAGTCTGTCCTCCCCTTCCAGAAGGGACCCTTGGCCACCAAGCTGTGGTTCAGGCTCCCATACAATGTCCCTAATTTTGGTTTTCACTGTATGCTTCCCTTGGGACACTGATCTGTATTTTATTTCAATATTAAGGTCAGGATTCTTAACAAGGGCTTTGATTTGAATTCATCTACCTGGTCCTAGATGCCTTTACAAATCAGGCAGCTGACTGTGGTGTCTGATGGCTGGCACAGATATCCAGAGCTGGTATCTCCTTCAGGCACTTACAATAAAGCTCTTACTCAAAATGTACATTTAAATATGGCTCAGCCTGTGTTTAGTTTGGGATGCACATCTGAAGAGACTTTTCTAGCTGACACTGACTTTGCTTTGCTAAGTGATTTCACAAGAGCCTTTGTTACATGAATAAAAAGCACTCTTGGAAGTCAGTATTGCAAGAGGGGACGGATCTTTGCTCAGCAGCTGAAGGCAAAAGTGGGTCACACCTCCCAGGTGAGCTGAGCTTGGGCTCAGAAACCCCCAGGGCACCTGCCAGGGCACAGCCCCAAGCTTTCCCATGTCTGCAGCTCAGAGCAACTCTCTCCCAGCCCATTCAACAGGGGTGCCCAGCTAGGAACGATTAAATCATACCCAAATGGAGGAAGTTACAGGGATCCTCACAGAACACAACCACAGCTCTGCTGCCATCTCCCCTGTTTTCAGCTTCAGCAATGCCCCATCCCTGGGAGTGTCCAAGGCCAGGATGGGGCCCTGGGCACCCTGATCTGGGAATGGCATCCCTGCCTGCCAGGGGGCTGGAACTGGGTGATTTTAGGGAGCCTTCCAACCCAAACCCTCCTGGGACTCCCTCAAGGACCAGGCTGGGGGTTCCTGACTGAGCCCTGCCCGTGTGCCCTCAGCTGTGCCCTCTGCAGCCCTGGCACAGAAAAACCCCAGCTGGGACCAGACCTGACCCTGCTCCCACTGCCCAGCACCTGGGCACACACCAGGGAGCAGCCTGCTTTTCTGACACTAAAACAAGCAGCTGTTCTCAGGACAGGACAAAGTGTGTTTGGTGGCCAGTTCAGGCTGGACAAGGCTCACGCTCTTCCCTAGGAGACACCACACTCCCACCCAGGGAAGGCACAGGCTGACTCCCTCCCTGCTGCAGATCTAGGCAGGATTTCTGGAATAACTTTTTGACACTTTTGGCACGTGAAAGAGCAAGGCAAGACTCTAGAAAGCCTTCCTTGAGATGTGAGTGGTACGTGGTATTGTTAAAGGTTCATCTGGTGCCTAAGGGTGAGAACAGTCTTCCTAAAAACACAGTGTGACACATCACCTCGTTCCTTACCTGATGATTTTTCTCTTTTATATTTTTTAAAACTATTAGAAGAATTTCTGGGAAAAGGCTGATAAAGATCAGGAGAATTATTGCCAGCCATGTGGAAACAGAAGTCAGCATATGAGCAAATACAAAATACATTCTTTGCTGCTTCAAGAAAGGCCTGGAAAAGAAAGGATACAAATAAATTCTGGTTAACATGGGTTTTCCCAGAAGATCACAACCAAAGGAGACTTCAGGTAAAGCTATTAGCAGTTGTGTCTCCCTTTCAGACAGAGATGGACACAGCACAGAAACACACTGCCCATCCCTCTCCTAATGCATCTCCTCCTCCAGCTGCATTATTTCTGGAAGAGTGTCATGATCCATTTTGCATCTTCCACATCTGTTTCTTTTCAGGGTGGGAAGGGGTTTGAATTTAACCACCATCACTGATAAATTATTCACTTCATCAAAAACCAGGTCATTTTATTTCAGTGTCAGGCTTTGCTATAGCTTCTGGTTTGGTTTTGATAGTGGAAATCCAGTCCACTGTGATTTCTCAATCACAACAGGTTATTTGCCCCTTCCTCCTTTCCTTGATGAGGGAGAGCAACCAACAGCTGCTTGTGAAAAACACCTCATCAATAACTCATGACAAGGATCCCAAAGCAGTTTTTGCTTACTGTTGGATCAAAAATCTTGAGCTATGCAAGTTAAACAGTAGAAAGAGTTTTCAGTAGAAAGCTCACATTGAGCATAGAGATGTGGCTAGACTGCAGACCTGGATCTGTTGGTCAGCAAGAGTTAACTGAGGAGCTAAAGCTTGTGACCCCCACAGAAAATACTGAAATCTGTTCTACATCCTTACTAGCAGGCTGCTGGATCAGGGATCCAGCCAATATCCCATGGCAAAGCAAAGGGGTAAAACAGAGATGCTGTGAGTGTCAACTGAACATTTACTGCAGCACAGGAAATACAAAACTGTCATGTTTGTAATGTACTAATGTCACCTGCTTTTGCAACACATTGAACCTGCCATCCTGGGTGCACTCCAGTCAATGAGAATTTCTTCATTTCAACACCAGGACCTGACTCTCTCCTGCTTGTCCCAGGGCCAGGTCCCCTTGCTCTGCACCTGCCTCACCTGTTCCTTCTGTTTCGCTGAGGTTCCTTCCACCACAAGTTCTTTGTCTCTGTCCTCCACATGCACAAACAGACCCTAAAAGGTTCAGTCTAGAACCTCCCAATAAAGAGCCTCAAGCAGCAGAAAGGCAAACGCCCCCTGCCCAAGCTGAGCACCTGGATGATGCCCAGGGTGTTCTCTCTTTGAGAACAATCCCTCTGCTGGGCTCCTCAAACCCTCTCGTGGTGCACCAGCCCTCCTCCAGCACTGCCTTTTGGGGGGTGTGGGTGGGGGCAGAGGAAGGATCGGGGCTGCACACACCCCTGGCACTGCCCTACACACCCCTGGCACTGCCAGTCTCCTAGGTAGGAGCAGGCTGCACACACCCCTGGCACTGCCCTACACACCCCTGGCACTGCCCTACACACCCCTGGCACTGCCAGTCTCAGGATGCCCTAAGGAGCAGGCACTGCCCTGCCAGAGCCAGCGCTGGGCACTGCCCCAGCAAAGGGCAGGGGAAAGAAAACAATACTTGCCAAATGACTCCTCCCCAAAAGAATGAGAAAAACACATAGAAAGCAAGGGAGCCCCAAATCACAAAGTGGTTCATCCACGTCCAGAATCGGGTATCTAACGCTAGCTGTGGGAACAAAGAGAGACAAAACAGGCTTTAGATGCACAGTGCATTGGATTTATCTGACATTTCAGACTGGTTTCACATTAAGCTTGAAGGTTCTCCAAAGAGCTACCTGTGTGCATATGGGCACCAGGACAAACATTTTCAATGTCCACAGTCTGGCACAATGTTAGCAGGGAAACAGTGGCATTCTAATTGTAACTGACACTTTTAAATGGAATAAATTTGATGCAACCCCTGATCCTACAGGAAAGAAACATCTAAAGGTTACAGGGACTGTAATTGCCTCTTGTCACCACCTGCTGTCCTGAACCAAACACAAAAGACCTTTTGTAAGGTCTTATGCAAACAGTTTGTTCTGGAAAGCCCCACGAAACAAAATAGATTTGCTATTGTTATTTGACACGTGTGCTTTTGTGATCACTTTGGCACTCAGCCTTGTCTGAAACAAGGTGGACAAACCCAAATTCTCTATTGCTCCTCTCCTCTTGCTGGAACTGAGCATCGAGAGGTGAAAGCGTGGAGGAGAGTCAACCATAACCAACTGCAGTCCTCAAAAGAGGGGAAAAATAGAAAAATAATTTAAACAGAACAAACACAAAAAAGGAATACATACTTGAGGGCCACAGACTGCACAAAGGAAAGTAAGCAGGTTCTGCCTCTACGGGAGAAGATTTGAGTGTGGTGGGAAATACTCAGACACTATTTCCAGCCCATTCAGGCATGATTTCACAGAGCACACCAGCCTTGGAGAGGCCAGCGAGGAAAGGGAAGGGAGGTGCTGACCTTGAGAGTGACGGTGAACACCAGCACGGTGAAGACAATCGTCCCAAAGGTCCAGTTCCCAAACACCTGCAAAACACACGGGGCACTGCCACAGCGTGCTGGCCCTCTGGGGAGGCACAGCACGGGGCCAGGGCCACGAGGGAGCAGGGGAGGCAGGGACAGGGGGACAGGGGGACAGGGGGACAGGGACGCTCGCAGCTCCGCACGCCACCCTGAGCCATGCAGTGCCACACACACACAGGTGACAGAGCTGGGATGTGACAGGGACAGCCTCCTACTAACAGCAATGTCAATGAGGACACAAGGCACTGCACCACCTGCAGCTCAGGGTTTCTTGGCAATTTACTCAGTTTCTGCTTTCTCGCCACACCCATCATCCTCATCCTCATCATCTCTCTGCAGTCCCCTGGCAGAGGGCACCAGTGGGCACTGGTGCTGCCCCAGCTGGTTGCTTTGTGGGAACTGGGGACTCGGCACACAAAGGAAAGCAGATACTGTCTATCAATCCAGTGATGGCAATGAATGGGAGAGATGCTTACCAAAGGCTCTCAAGTTCTGAATGCATACATTAAAACAGAAAGTGAAATGTAAAAGTTTCCAAAAAATGCAAAAAAATTAAAGTCAATAGGAGTGAAAAACGAGTCAATCAAACATACATGGATATTATGAACAATTGCTGGTAGCAGTTCTTACAGGCATAAGTGTTTACAGAAGAGGACATAACCACAGATCTTACTGCAGTGCCACATAGATTTGACTTCTGAAGGCATTTGCAGAGCACATCAGTGCTTCATGTTTCATTCCAATCCAACCAGAATGGCCACAGATACAGCAGAGCACTGATCTGACAATACAGGGGCTTGGCTGCATGTAGCTGTGGCCATAAATGCTGGCAGTGATGCAGTGTATGGATACACACACACATTTCATCAGCTTTTCTCCAAGTGTCAGCCACTGAAGAGTTTTGGTGTTTTCAGGGGTCACAAGTGATGGTGCAAAGAAGTTTCCCATCAGCCAAGATCTAATAACACACTGCACATTCCCTTGGGGAAAGGGTCCTGAAACCACTCAGGCCATCTGAGCAGCTGCCCTGCACTAATGCTTGGCTCTGTACTCAGTTAACCAGCAGAACAAGAAAAAATGAGAAAAAAGGAAAAGTAAAAAAACCCTCCATCTTTTTTCCTCCTCTTCCTGTGCAAGTTAACCCCAGCAGCTCCCGCAGCAATGCAAGGGCTCCTCCCCACAGCAGAGGCACGAGCAAGGAGGCAGCAGGGACAACGTCCTGGTGCCACCAGCAGCTGGGGACTGGTGCTGGCTCCAAAACAGGAGCTAAAGGCTTCCCAAGGGACTTGTGCTGGCCCCAAAACAGGAGCTAAGGGCCAGCCCAGCCCTCCCTGGGCAGAGAGGCTGGAGCCACAGCCCCAGGCAGGCCCAGCACACAAGCAGCCCTGCACCAGGGCTGCCCTAAGGAGCACCATCCCACCAAGGGGGGACAGTTCAGCTGCTCACAAGCAGCCAGCACACACTGAAATTCAGGCTGTCCCTGGTGGGAAGGACAGAGCCTGCCCTGCCCTGGGCCAGTGCCTGGGATCCCACAGAGCAGGGCAGAGCCCTGTGCAGAGCCCGCTGTGCTGAACAGGGCTGTGTGTGAGACTAGTCCTGTTACCTAGTGAGAGTAACCAGCTCTGCCCCGTTTCCATGGCGATCTGGAAATGTTTTATTTCAAGCATTTGCTGCAGGATCACACCATAAGCAAGGCTCCACTGTCAGACAAGACTGGAGACACAGTGCACAGCTCAAGCAGAGATTCCCTGCCAGCATATCAGAGGCAGCACACAACACAAACACTCATCTTCCTCTCTTTGGGGCCGTTACCTTTCCGTTGTCTTCCAAGGATGAGTTTTGGAAAAGAAAATAAACCCCAAAGAAAAATACGAGTCCTTCAAAGGCGCCTAGAAAGGTCCAGTACAGGAAGGGCCTCCACTGCAGCATGGCATTGTCTGACACCTTCCTGCCAAGAGATGGAGTAACAGCACCATCAGCACGGGCCAGGCTGGGCTGCAGAGCTCCTCACAGCAGGGCTGGGGGCCTGGAGCAAGCCCTTGCAGGAGGAGCCCAGGGGAAACCACAGAAACACCTGTCAGGGCATAAAGAACACCTCTAATATCAGCTGCTGATCATGAGAAATCACAAGGGGTTCAGCATATGAATTGTTTTGTCTTTCTCCTCTAGGTAGCTTGGATGAAAAAAGCACAAAGTCAAAGAGGCTGTCCTGAACCTGTCCAGTCCCCGTGCTGCCCATGGTATCTGACATTTTCTGCTAAATTTTAAAAGCAGGGTAAGGCTAAAGAGCAGCTGTATGCGATACATAAAATCCATGGTGTGTTTCCCTCTTTTTGTTTTGGAAGCACAAAGTCCTTTTTTGAGAAAAGCTCCGCAAGTCCTGCTCCCTGAAGTGGTGTTTTTCTGCACAGGCTGAAAATAACCTCCTGAATTGTATGGTGGGTGTTTTTATCACAGGGGTTGTAGCAGGAGGCTCCTGGCTGAATACAGGATGAGATCTGGCACGGAAGCAGCAGCAGCAATGGATGGGCTGTGATGGAAGCTCTGCAGGGACCACACACAGGGCCTGGGGAGTGGAGGGTGGCTGTCAGGGCAGGAGGGAGTTAAAAACAGTTCCCTGCATCATTATCTTTCCAGATTACTTTCTGTAAAGTCCCCACCTTTTCTGCATTGTTCTCCTTAACTCCTAAAGCGATACATCCCCTTTCAGCAAGATGCACTTTGCAAACCTGTGTGGTGCTGGGCTCCTGTAACTGCATTTCTGAAAAGAGATCCTATTGAAACCCACACGGGATGATGCTGTGACCATGCTCTAACATGTCACAACTTGGGTCTGAGAAAGGAGCAAGGATAAACCAGGCTGGAAGCGTGGGGCACTGCAAGCAGAGAAACACAAGCAGCTTCCTCCCTGCGAGCTGTTTTGCACTGCCATCTCTGTCCTGCAGTGCTGGTGGTAAACAGCTTTTCCAGAGTGAGGATCTGCAGTGCAGCAGCTCAGCCCTCCCTCCAGCAGCAGCAGCAGCAGCAGCAGCGCAGCGGGCGCTCTGCACCCAGCACAGGAATATTCCAACCATGAATATTCCAGCCAGGCTGTTCCCCTGCACACACAGACCCCAGAGAGCACAGAGCCCACAGGGGAAGGCACAGGGGCTGCTGTTCCTGCTCTCTGTCGCACTATATTCAATTACCAAGCCATTTAAAAACCCAGACGGTGGCATTTCACCACGGAGTGAAGGAATACAGAGCTCTAATCAATCGTGGCTCTGAGTGTTCACTCCAAACCACCCAAGCCCCTTCCCAGCCTTACAGCTCTGACTGCATTCACTGCTGTTTACACCTAAGGCAACGTTCACACAGGATTTCAGGCACCTGATAATTCCCTTTCCCTTTGCTGTCTCTGCACAGAGATCACCCTTGGCTCGAGCACACACAGCTCCACTGCTGAGGAGCATCCCACCAGTGACAGGGCTGGCACTGCCCAAAGCAGCCCTGACCTGGCTTTGCCCCAGGGCTGAGCCAACTGCCAGGTGGGGAATGGGCAACAGGGCTGCACAGAGAGGGGCTTCCCCAAAAAACATCTTTAGTCTCTGCTGAAGGGCTGCCCCAAGCACGTGTGTGGCGGGGCTGGGAGAAAGAGCGAAAGCATCTCTGCTCCTCGGCAAGTTTGGAGCCTCTCCCTGCTGAAACAAGGAGAGAAAGCAGCAGGCAAAGCAGAGGGAGACAGTCTGAGCTGTCCTTTCCCTGGGCAACGTGGCAGAACACAGTGTGTGGATCGATGAACAGCGCTCCTGGGTTCTGATAAGGGAACCTGGCCTTGGAGGGGACGCCTGGGGGACCACATCCACTTGGACAAGCTGAGAAACCACGTGCCTGAGCTGGGCTTCAGAAACATTCATCTTCCTGAACATGAATGGATCTGTTTTCCTCCTGAAGGCTGCACCTCCCCTGCCTGCATTACACGCTCCATCACGTGCCTGGCTCAAAGGTAACGGGAATGAACGGCCTGGCCATTCTCACAGCTCCATTTTCCTTCTGGATGAATTCCACCTACAGTTTACCCTTCAGAGACACAGCAGTGCAGTCTGCTAGACCAGATACTGTCAGGGAGCATGAACAAGCAGCAACAGGCAGCAAACACAAGGCTGCTCAGCCTGAATGCAGAACAGCTGAGGCAGAGGGACAGGAATGGCTTTTCCTGCCCTCGGTGGTGATGCCATCCCTGACACAGGGCAGGGACACCAGAAACCCAAACCCCAGGGGGCAGAGGCCAGCCCAGGCCAGCAGTACTCACATGTAGAGCTGAGGGTCCGAGGTCAGGGTGTCAATGCTGATGTGCTGCTCCAGCAGGCTGTAAGCCAGGATGGGCAGCGACGTGAAGCAGATGTTGTACATGGTCAGGTAAGCAGCATCATACAGTGGCTTGGAGGAGGAACAAAGGGTCACATGAGACAGACAGAACAAGGCCTCTCCACAAAGAAATGCAACCATAAATTCACAGCTCCTGCATACCCCCTGTCACACAGATCCCTCCCTGTGTCACCCAGCACAGCCTCTCTGGATGGAGCTGTGCTCTGTGCAGTGCAGGGGAACAGGGCACCTGCAGGGCCCAGGAACCTGCCCCACTGACACAAGTTCTGGAACTGGCTGGTCTCACCTGCAGCTTATCCCCCAGAAAAACAGGGCTGAGCAGCCCTAGCACAGCTCTCCTCTTGCTGCTCCTGGGCTGCTGTTTCTGTTAATACATCTGGTGCCTCCTGTGGCTCTCTAAGGACTAGACTGTTTTAGAGGAACTACAGCTCCTTTTTTTAAAAAGGCGAGTGTTTCTGCCAAAACAAGCAGAGACCATTCTCTCTCACCATTTACTCTTCCTGTAACTTTTGAGCCCAAATAGACACAAAAGCCCCTTAAGCTGACACTAAAGCCAAAGCTCTCATCTCCAAGCACATGAAACCACTCACACATGGATCTGCCCCTCTGATGTTTACTTGGATTAAACAAAGCTCTGGTAACACTCATTGTGTGTCTTTTTATAAAAGACATAAGAGAATGAACCGTTCTTCCTTCTGAGTGACATTTTTAATGCACTGAAATGCAGCAGAGGAGACAACATCAGGAAACTGCTCAAAACTTGTTCTTGTAAGAAAAGCAGAAGTAGCAGAACCAGGTGGTGACAAACCAGCCAAACCCTTCTCTTACTACTTCAGGAAGGTGCCCACCTGTGTTTATGGCTGGTGGATGGGAAAGGAAAGAAAGCAGATTGCTCTCTTTGCAGTTATGGTTTCAAAATATTATGTTCCAGATCTGGTGCTAGAGCAAGGTGGTAACGGGACAGGATGCCAAAAGCCAAGTCCCTGATAGCAGACCTCATCCTGCCACTTGCTTTTTAACTTGCCTTTATAGACAAATTAGTGGAAGTTACCTGCTGTGAGAATCCACAAAAGAACTGGTATAAAAACTGTGGTAAAATGAAGCAAAGGTTCTGGGAAAACAAAAGACAAATGGTCAGCAGGGAAGCACTTGACTTCTCGGTCTACACCCAAGCAGTTTTTCCTGTTATCAGACATTAGTGTCTGACATTACAACATCAGACAAGGTAGGGCACTTGTTCAATCAAGCACAAAACCAATCCAGTGAGCAGTTAGTATCTGCAGGAGACACGAGAAGAATGCTCATACTGCTCTGTTTTCAATGGACAGGCACATGGCAGACACAGCCTGTCCCAGGGAGGTAAAACAACTACAGAATATCCCCCACATTAATCCTGTTCATTATTCTATTCTATTGCCAAAGAAATGCACAGGATAAACAAAGATCAGCTGCACACTGCCCCTTACCTTATAGAAGAAATACTGTACAAGGTGTGCTATTCTCACATAATATAAATGCCCGTGTGCTAGTAGCAGTTTTCGTAAGTGTTTAAACTTTGGCACAGCATAGTCGCTGTTCCTGGAGGCCTGGCGTCCTTCCTTGCCCTTGATCCCTGCAGAAGAAGCATGCAAGGGTTAATCCAAGGGCTGCAGCCTGGATGCTGTCCCCAGGTCTGCTCACATCACTCAGTGCCTCAAAGGGACAAGGGCTGAGCTTCCCTCTGAGAGCCCCAGGAGACCAAGCACGAACACTTGGTGTGGTTTTGGCTCCACAACACTCAGACCTGCCTCTGGAGGTTCTCAGCTATATTTAGGCTGCTCTGTGATTTCCTGTAAGGGCCTGGTGTGAGCAGGGAGTCTAGGCAGACCTGATGGAAGATAAGGAATTGGTTCCCCCGGGCTGGCCTGCATCTCTCACAGCTCAGTTATAGCTGCTCAGCCTCCTGAGCCGTCCCCAGAGCTGTTCTGCTCACAAAAAGCACATCCAGATGGGCTGCCCTGGATTCCCTGCATTAGAGGGCACCACAGCATCTCCAACAGCCCCAAAGGAGGAATGTGCCCCTTCCCTCCCACTGACCCCTCCTCAGTGGTGTTACAGGAGGCTCCGTATTTCAGAGGAGACAGGAGGAGCCTCCAGCTGCTGTGGGTCACAGGACACGGCAGGCCCAGCACACCTGGGCACCAGCCCCCAAACCCCTGTGGGTGCTGGGCTGAGCTGCTGCCACCAGCTGGCACAGAGCCTGGCCCTGCCACTGCCCTGCCACCAGCCACCATCTGTCTGCTGCTTGTGCCCCTTCTCCCTGAGCCCCAAGCTCACCACTGCTCAGGGCAGTTTTGGAACATCACCTGCAGTGTGTCACTGACACAGAGAATGGTGCTGGCACTGGTGAGCAGCAGATGAGGATCTCACCTCTCCCCTCCCCAGTGGGCATGGCAGAACACTGGCACAGGCTGCCCAGAGAGGCTGTGGGTGCCCCATCCCTGGCAACACTTAAGCTCAGGCTGTGCACAGCTGAGGAACTGGATGGAGGTGCAGATTTCCCTGCTCACTGCAGGGGTGGGACCCTTTAAAGGCCCCTTCCAACCCACGCTATTCCATGATTCTGTGATCTCAGCATTAATCTGGAGTTAAACTCTGCCTCCAAGGAAAGCCAAGAGCAGACTTCCCACATTTTTCAGTGGGATTGGTTTAGCCACGTGCAATCAGAAACACCAACTGCACCTCAGAAGGGAGCCCCAGGCAGAGCAGACAGGTCTGGGCTGTGAGATGGATGCTGCAGGGACTCTTACCTATCCCAACATGTGCTTCCAGAATCATGCTGACATCATTTGCACCATCCCCTATGGACAGGGTTATCGGGCTTCCTTTCGTGTTCTTCACCATTCGCACAATCTAAGAGATTTAAAAAACGACAGCAGCAGAACCCATAATTCAGTTAAAAAGCCTCCAGAGACCTTGCCACTGCTCCCCCCAGGACAAGCAATCAGGCTTTTACAGCAGCAATAACACCTGGAGAGCTCAGGTTAATAAAAGCCCCCTTTCCTTGCTGTGCAGCCACAGCCAGAGCAGAAGCCCAACCCAGCTGTGCAGGGCTGAAGGACAGGATTTAAAAACAAACCCCAGATCAACATCCTGCTCTTCCCTCCTGCCAGACCCTGCTCTCCCAAGGGTGGGCTCTCTCACGCATCCCAGGCTGCAGAAACACATCACTTATCAGCCTGGGACATCATCTGCTGCACTGAGGAAGTCACCAACTCCACTTGACAAATTTGGAAAGGGAAAAAAAAATAGCAAACTGGGAGGTTTTGTTTATTTCTAATTGGCCTGGGTTTATGGGGTCCTGCCAGCATATTAAACAAAGGGTTTGCATTCAGATGTGAAAGAATGGTGTGCTTTCATCCTGCTCTGAAGCTCAGATGAGGCTTACACACAGCCTGGAGAAGTCCTGCTCGCTTAGGATGCTCAGGTGAAGTCCCAGCTGATGAATTCAGGGTGTGCCACAGTGAGAGGTAAATAAATACCTGTGCTTTCTGCAGGGGAGCCATCCGGCAGCAGAGCACTGCAGTGCACTTCAGGCAGATCTGCAGGAAGATGCTTTTGTAATTGCTGGAGCCACAGTCCTGAGAGGGGTTGAGTATCAGCGACAGCGTGGAGCCATCTATGATCAGTCCATACTCCTGACTCAACGTCCAGCTTCTGGGCACAACAAGGGACACGTTTGGAACTGCATCAGACTGAATCAGCCTAGCTGCTGGTATCATCTTAGTGAAAAAAACCCTGGCTTTGGGTTAATCTTCTTCCCATCCATTTTTTGGGACTTTGCAATTTTAAAAGGCTTAGCCTTAGCACGTGCCCTCACTAAAGGAACAGTGCAACGAAGTTCAAAGCCAGCTAACAGCAGAGATGATGAGCAAAGCAAAGGAACCGCTCACAGTGTCTGCGAGTACCCAGTCCCCAGGGCCCCAGCATGGTTCTATTTCTGCATCTGAAATGGGCACAGCTGTGTCCTCTGCCCACCCACCTCTTGAGGCCAGCCCTGGTTTTGGGCAGGTCCTGGATGAGCTTTTTGTGGTACTCCAGCAGCAGCTCATGGAGCCGATCCTCCTTCCTGTCGCCCTCGCCCACCGTCCTGGCCGTCAGCTCCAGCAGCTCGGTGCTGGTCTGGAACAGCCTGCAGGCGTAGCACGTGGACTTGGCCGTCTCCATCTTGTCCCCTGTCAGCACCCACACCTTCATGCCAGCGGCGTGCAGGGCCTCGATGGTCTCTGCCAGCTGCTCCTGCAGCCTGCGGGCAGAAACAGAGCATCACTGCACCTGCTCACGCAGCCTGAGCCTGCCTCTGCACCCAGGAACACCAGCTCAGGAGAAGGGAACTGCTGTTCCCCTGCTGGGGAGACTGCTGCCACAGGAATAAGGATTACAAGTCAGCAATACCAAATTTTGATTCGCAGACAAAAAGAGAAATCACTGCTTTATACTCTTGACTCTTAGGCCTCACAGTAAGAGTTTAATTTACACTTGCAGTTACTATAACTGAATGTGGAATTGAATTTGTTTTGATGTGCAAATTAATGCTGTGTGCTTAATTCACTCTCCAGAAGTGCAAGTACTTCTGTAGTTTCATTAATAAATCCCAATTCCTACTACACCAGCCAATTTAAGCAACTAGGGCACTGTGAAATGGGTTGTGCCATGGTGTAATTAATTGCCCTGGACACTGCCAGCATGTCCCTGGCTGTTCAGCTCCACCACAGCGAGTCCAGGCCATAGGGTCACGTCACAGAGGAACCACAGGCACCTCCTTACCTGTCCTCTACAGCTGTAGCCCCAATCAGGTGCATGTCTGCCTCCGTGTCATCAAAAACCTTGGCCATCTTCTCCTCCCTGTCCTGCAGAGCCATCTTGGCCTCATTGAGCTGCCTGTCAATCCTGTCATACTCCTTTTCAGTCAGCTCCTTGAAGGCCACACAGAGGGTTCGGTAGCCATCCTGGCAGGGGAGTGAGACAAAACAAAGTGGGCAAATGCCCTCAATCCAGGTTTTTTACAGCTCCTCACTTCAGGGCTGGTGCTTTTGTCTGCCATCAGTGCTTCTGGCAGTACTGCCCCTGAGGGCAGGGATAATTTGTTGGCTTGTGTCAAAAGAGCAATTTTCTGTGTGTGTACAGAGTAATTGTGGTTCTGCTTCTTATGTGCAGAAAGAAACCAAGAGAAGGGGCAGGGCTGGGAGTGTGCAGCCAGCAGGGAGAGCAGCACTGGGGGCCACCACACTGGGACCAGGCTGCTGATGTTACTTCTATTTTTAACTTGCCTGGAGATGCTGGACAACTGTGATGGAGACCATATAAGTATATCAAATAAAGGTGGAAGCCAACCAAACAGAAAAGGAAAGGAGCCTGACATCAAAACAATGAAATGACACTCACGTTTTCAACACTTCACTCTAGAGCAAGGTCACATCCCTATGTTTGGAATAAGCCTTCCTGACCCCAGGAGCCAGCCAAGTCCCACCCGTGTGCTCACCATGGCATTGCGGTCCACGTGGACTTTTGTCTGCTGGATTTCTTCTTGCTGCACCCTCGGAAAAATAGAGGAGTCTGCTCCTTTGCAGAAGAGGAGCAACTTTCCTAAAAACAAGTTATAAATAGTTTATGGGACTCACAAGCTGCAGAAGGAGTTAACAATGCCAACAGCAAGCAAGTGATGCAGAGGGAGGAAATCTGGGAGGACTAAAGAGGGAACTGCCAGAAACCCAACTGCCTACCAAAAATGGCCTTGGAGCAGCCTGTGAAACTCCTCTGGCCGAGTCTCTGCGTGTCCCTACCTGCCTCTGAGCAAGTTTCCTGCAGGACACTGCAGCTGCAAGCCTTGGCAAGCTTTCCAGGGAGGGTAAGAGCAGCATCCCAAACCTCGCAGGGCTGACACTCGAGAAGGATGGTGACCTCTGCATTGTTGTCTGTTACTGCCATGAAACCCCATCCCACCCAGGGGACATTCTCACATGTCCTCCCTGTGCCTGTTCCAGCCTGGAGCCCGGCAGGCAGGCAGGGAGCTCGCCATGGGTCACTGTTCTCATCCCCTGATGAGCTGCTGGTCCCAAACAGCTCCCATGGAGGAGAATGAACTCTACAGCAGGCAGTCCCAGGACAGGATTGAGTCAGAGCCAAGAGCCAGGCTGTGTGGGTGACAGGAAGGAGGAGGATGTGTTCCACAGTGTGCACACAGCTGCAGAGCCCACAGGAGCTCCCTGCCCATACCTGTGCTGGTTCTCACAATGACACTCATGCGCCGCCGGACAGGATCAAAGTTCAGCACGTGCAGAAGTTGGTACCTTCAGAGAAAGGGAAAAAAGCTTTGGCTCGGTACAGGAAAAATAGAAAAATAACTACTGGAGACAGAAAATCACTAACAATGAGCTGCAGAAATCAATACACCCTACAAGTGGCATCAGCCACCTGGGAATGAATTTTACAGCTACTGCACAAGAAAATGGAGGAAAAAACCCAAATTGCAGTGGTGCTCTGAGCATAGGACTGAAGGTGTGGGTGCCCACCAGGGCACCGAGCCCCCAGGCTGGGCAGGGGCTCAGCAGGGAATGGGGCACCACGTGCCACAAGCAGTTACACTGAGTCTCACAGTTAAATATGAAGTTTCTTTTTGAGGGAAGCAAGAAGTGAAACTTGCTTGTGAAGGCAAGTTTCCAGGGAGTGCTGGGATTGGGTCAGTGACTCACAGATGTCCACCAAGCTGTGAGCACAGGGTAAAATCTAACTATTTTCAGCTTGGGAAGGGAAGAAAAGGTTACAGGGAATGGAGCCACATCACGAGTTCAGGCTCAGTGTCCTGCTGTGAGCCCCAGCCACGGCCCATAAGGTCAGCAGCCACCTCCTGAATGCCAGGAGCCACCTGCACAAGCTGGGGCAGATGAAGGATACACACAAAGGACTGCAGGCTCCTGAGGGACCTGAATTTAGACATCACAAAACCACCCGTGGCTTTTTGCAAGTGACTCTTTTTGCCCAAGCCTTGATGTGCTGTGCTTTGTAAATGGGACAGGAGTCTTGGGGCAGGTCAGCACGGCCTGGCTGCCCTCAAGGAACAGCTCTGGTCAGCCTGGCAAGGTCAAACTCCATCAGCTGGGTGGGAGTGGTGCAGAAGAGCAGCCCTGTTCCCCAGCAGCACTTACATCTCAGTTTCATTCTTTTGGTTTCGGATTTTCATGAAATTGTTTTCAAGTCCTAGAAAAGTGAAACCATACCTGTCAATAAACAAAAGGACAGAAGAGCATTGAAAACACCCATTGGCACATATCACACACAACAATGTTCTCGTTTCGCCCCTGCACTGCAGAGAGCCCGGGCTGAGGAGCAGGGCTGGATGTTTGTGTGCTCCATGCAGAGCCTGCTATGATGTCCTGGCACTGCTCCCATCCCCTGGAGAGCCTGGGCACTGGAGCACACAGACACACAGAGCCTCTGGACGTGGTCCACTGCCTCTCTGGCAGCTCTACAAGCCATGAGCAAGTGCACACAGCTGCAACGGCCTCCGTCCAAACCCAGGGGCTGGCAAGAGCCCAGAATCACTGAAAGGTTTGGGCTGGAGAGATCACCTAGTGCCAAACCCCTGCAAGGAACAAAGACACCTTTCACTAGAGCAGGCCCCACCCAGCCTGCCCTCCAGCATCTCTGGCAGGACTCACATGTGGGGTTGACAGAAGTGACCATCCTATTATTTTGCCACTGCATGGCAAGGAAAAAGTTTCATTGCAATATTCACATGGTAACTGGTCTCTGTTTCTAGGGGATTAAACACAAGGCCAGGTGGGCTCCAGCAAAGAAGCTCCTGCCACATCTGGGCACTGTAGCACCCTGGGGCTGCTCTCAGTGAATGCAAACCATGGGCTCCCAGGGAAGATCCTTTACAGAGCATCCCTTTACCAGGGAGCTCACCTGAGCCCACAGGCTCACAGCACTGCAGGTTCAGCACTGCTATCACAACATGCAGACAGTCCATGACAAGGGATCTGTCACCCCCAGATCACCCTCACCTCCCTCCTTCCCACCAGAGAGGGAATCAAAGAGCCAACATCTCCACGTCCTTACTTTTCTGCGCCTTTGACCAGAGCGATCTCATCTGGGGAGGAGGAGATGTAGGTGTATTTGCGTTCTGGGTGTGCCACCAGCCCATCCACCTGGTCTGCCTCCTTGATCTGGACCGTGTGGCACAGGCACAGGGCTCTCAGGAACAGCTCCTCACGGCTCTGGGCAGGACACAGGGAGGGTTCATTACCAGCTGCACACCCAGCCAGGAGCTGCCCCAAAACCCCTACAGCCACCAGCACACACAGCCCTCACCTTCTCAGCCTTGCCATAGTACTTGAGGGGCCCATCAGGCTGGGAGAAGCCATCCACCTCTGCCATGCAGTCCTTGTACTTGTGCCCGTCAATGCAGCACTCGATGAACTCCATGCTGTTCTCTGTCAGCGTGCCTGTCTTGTCTGTGAACACGTACTCCACCTGCAACAGCAGGCAGCTGCACAGGGCTGGGCAGGGAGCCCCAGGAACACAGCCTGGGGCATCGCAGGGCATCTGTGCCACTGTGCAGGGCACCTGGGTATCCCAACCCAACTGCAGACAGACACAGGTGCCCACTGCACCCCTCTGTAGCTCTGTACTCTGTTCCCTTGTTCTTCAGTCTGTTGCATGGGGGGCAGGAGGCAGCTTCTGAAGAGTTAAAATCTGTCTCCAGGCTCTTCACTTTCCCCTCATTCACTTCCCTGGGTCCTCTGCTATAGCCCTAGTGCCTACAGAACTGCTGCTGCAGGTCTGCTGCCTCCTTTGGGGATTTTCATCTTGGAGCTGTATTTCAATTAGCTAATTGCTACTCCAAGTGTGTTTTTATTCTTGTTTTTACAGAAAAACCAAAAGCAGGAGGCACTCAGATGCCCTGCACTCATCTCTCCTCTGCAGAGCAGGAAGGGAAGCCTGAGCTGTCTGGGTGCCCCAGCTGCACGTGCTCTGCACGCCCAGGGAGACGACTGGGCAGGCATTTTCACTAATCCTCACAGAGACAGAGGGTTTTTAATTTTTAATTGAAGCAGCGAAAGCAAAGCACCCTGACACGCAGAGCGCTGCGCCTGATCCTGCCCAAAATGGAAACAATTGATGTGACCCAGTTCCTGCTCTTTCATGCACTATTTATAACCTTATCTGGCTGGCAGAGAGTGTGCAATCACATCCAATGGAAAGTGCCACCACAGCCCTGGGTGAGGCTCCGGCCCCAGGGGATGCCAGGGGATGGCCACAGCAAGGGCTCCTCGCAGCGAGGGCACCCCCAGCCCCATTTCCATCCCCACAGACCCCACAAACACAGCACGCCAACCTGCCCCAGCTCCTCGTTCAGGTCCGACGTGTTCACCAGCGCTCCCTCCTGGATCTCCTCATCGTACATCTCCTTGTCCCAGGAGATGAAGAAGGAGCCCAAGAACTTCTGCATCTCCACTGTAACGTACATGGAGACGGGGATGATGAAGTTGAAGAGGACCATGAACGACAGGAAGTCCGTGAACATCCGCAGCACCTGCATAGCAAAGAGGAGAAGATGCAGCCTGTGGCTCTCAGGGCACAGGGGCAGTTTGCAGCAACACCTCAGGGGTTCTAAACAGCTTCTCAGAAAAGGTTAATTAGGAAAAGACAACATGAAAATGAATACAGCTGAGATACAGGGCTAAATCCCAATTTCCTTTGGCACAGAAAATCCCACTGTCTTCTGCAGACCTACCAGGAACAGGAGTCCATCTCACTGCTCCACAGTGACCAAAACAGTGTTTCATAAGCATATTCCTCTCAAAATACACTGCTACAGGCTCATCCTGAGCCCAGGAAACCAGAAAAGAGGAGCAGGTGGCTTGAGACCAGTGAGGCTGTGGCAGGGGTACAAGTGTGCAGTGACATCCCTGTACACAACCCATCACCTCAATAACCCACCCAGTGTGGATCCCTGCACACTCACACTCACTCTCTCAGGCTTGACTGCCCACGTCTGGGCAAGTTTAACAAACTGGTTGACATGGCCTCAATCTAGGTTCACCTACTCAAAACTGAAAGATATCTCGAGTTCAGATAAGGACCCAGGTTACATCAGCTGTATTTCCACATTATACAGTATTTATTTATGTTCTGCCCCAATCCACACAAATATCACTGTGCACAAGCACGAGGGAGGCACAGAAGAAGCACAAACAGCAGGAGGGACCAAAGGAAACAACAGCACTTTGTGTGAGCAAACAGGACTCCCAGGGCTGGCAGCAGGCACAACAGATTAAACTAAACAGCCAGAGCAAGTGAAGCTGGAGGAGGTGCTGAAACACAAATCCACTCACCTTGAACGTGTCTCTCTCTTTTTTAGTCTTCTCGTTGTACCAAGGCTCATCATTAAATGGATTACTCTGCCAGACATATTTCAGAGTTGTGCACACAGTGGCCTTGCCCAATAAGATGCATAAATACACTATCAAGAAAGCGTTGATGGATCTGAAAAACAGGTTTCTTTTTTAAATTCTTGCAGCTATTTTTATAGAGAAAAACATGTAAATAGGCAAGAACAAGACTTCCTTACTTTCAAGAAGGAAATTACAGAACATTTGCTTTTGACACTGCTGATATTCAGGGTCAGGTTCATATATTTACACATTTCTTAATTTTGTTTTTAAATAAAAAAGCTACTGAATGATTCTGCTTCCTGCAAGATATGCTTTATCAAATACCCAGATTTTTCTGTGCAATCAGAGAGCATCTGAAACAAAAGACAGTGGTATGGGGATTACTTCTGTACAAGCCATCCATTAAAAACAATCCCAAACCCAACAGGTTTTACCAATTCTCTCCTGAACACAAATACTCACTTCTCTACTGCAGAGCGTTTCTGAGATTTCCCTTGGTAGTTGAGAGCCATTTTTGTTTCCATGCCAGTATAGACTGCAACTCCTGCAGGAACCAAGGCAGGGCTCATAAGGGACAGAGCCTGGAGGGAGCAGCTGGCACGGGGCCACCAGGGCAGCGGTGCTTACACCAAACCCAGTCCCAGCTGGAGCAGGAGGCACCACCCAGGGGCTGCTCTGCTCCAGGAACACCTGAGGCTGCCCAGGAATGCCACTGCTGCATCCCAGAGCAGGAGCCCATGGGTCACACAGAGTGAGGAATGTCATTGCTGCATCCCAGAGCAGGAGCCATGGATCACACAAAGCCCATGGATCACACAGAGCCAGGAGAAGGCACTGCTGCATCCCAGAGCAGGAGCCCATGGATCACACAAAGCCCATGGGTCACACAGAGCCAGGAGAAGCATCAGCCTCCCACCACAGCCCCACCCTCCACCACCATTATCTGAGACTGTGCTCCCAGAGAGGATCTGGGCACAGCTCCCTGCTCTTGGTGTCCCAGGCAAAAGGAAAAGCTTGCTCTGCTGAATTAACACACCAGGGCAGCCCTGCACATGGAACCAAGTGCCTCCTAACTTCACCTGGCCACTCTGCAACCAGCTGGCATGAAAACTGCACAGCCCAGGCAGACAGGCTGCAGAGATGTTCCCTCCCCAGGTTCAGTAGGGAACATCTACATTTGTCACCACTTATCAGAACTATTTAAATAAACAAAGAAAAATAACTTCACCGTAAATCTTCTTGGTATTTTTGAGGGTAGCACCTTTCAACAACAGGTTTTCAGGACCCAAAGACCTAAACATAAAAGAAATTATAACATTGCATCACTCAAAGAACATTCAAACTACTTCGTAAATTAGAATTAGAATGGAAAGATAAACAAAGTTTCCTCATGTCTGATTACATGATTTGTACATTAAATTGGGGCCTTGCCTGAGTTTGTCTTTCTCTTTATGCAATTACATTTCCATTTTATCTTACAAATACTATCCCTGATGCAAGACTCCACTCTTATTGGGGGATTTTCAGTAAGGCTTTTGAGGAATAACTGCAAAATGTTCAGATCCAGTATGTTCCAGTACTTATACAAAAATGCAATGTTTTTAAAATCATTAGAAGACTGTGTCCATTCCAGCCCAGGCAGTCAATGCTGGCCGCCCCATTTGTGTTTTTATTTCTCTTTGAAACGCCCAGATTTTTGCTCCCAGGGTATGAACAGCCCCACCAGAGCACAAAACCCATCCAGCATGCTCTGGTGAGAGCCAATGTTTTGGATGGTTTATGGACATCACCTGCTCATTTTTTTCTGTGGAACATTCTGATTGATGTTTGAGTTCTTACTTACCTTCCAATGACCGTATTTTGTCATTACCTGATAAACTTGTGCCCCATCAGCAGGGCAGGACATTATCAGGTGGTTCTGCACTGCTTCCCCAAAAGGGGCTCAAACAAACCACAGGATGGCAGAAGGGAGGACTCCTTTTAGAGTGAAATCTTTGGAATGGTTAAAGAAAAAAAATTCCCAAATGATGACAGGACAAGCTCAGATTTCTGAAATTCTCTGTAGATGCCCAACAGGCAGCTGCAGGACCAACCTGGCTACAGGCTCTTGGTTACTCCCATAGATGATAATCCTTCCAACAAATCTGTGATAGAAATATGAGAAACTCTTATTACAGACACATTATAAAAACTATAAAAATAACAAAATAACAAAAATAACATTGACAGGAAATGGAAGCAAATCCAGAAACAAGAGAATCTGAGAGTTTAATGTCTCACAGGGCTGGCTGTGCTCAGGACAGGGAGAAGCCACACAGTCCCATGCTCAGGGTGCTCACAGAGCCCAGCACATCCCCATTGCAGACTGTAACACAGCCCAGAAAACCTCCCTAAGGGATCTAAAAACAGAGAACTCACTCCTGGAAGTCATTCTGCCCAATGCACCTTACTGGGAAGGTAAGAGTGGCCTAAAAACAGGTGCGGGGGCCATTCCTGCTGCTGAGCTGACAAAAACCAGCTCATTGTACCACAAAAACTGCTGCACAGGTGAGGCTCTTCTGCAAAGACACTGAGCTCTGAAGACTTTGCCATGCTCATACAGAGGAGGCCCAGCAGCTTATCAGTGCCTTGAGCCACCTTTTGGCCTTTGCCACAAAGAAGATGGCATTTGCTTTGCTGAGCTGCAGATGCCCGAGTGACGGTGCTGAGGTGTCTGCAGAGGATGAGCCCAGGGCAGCACAGGCAGGGGAGGAGGCAGGGGGGAGGCAGGAGGGCCAGACTCACTTGTAGAGGTCAGGCTGGGGCTGCTCACACTCGATGGTGGCCGTGAGGGTGTCGATGGCTTCGTCAGTGCAGAGCACGGTGGTGTCCCGCACGGCGTAGTGGGTCTGCACAGGAGCACAGGCACGGTCACCGCAGGCCCAGCAGCAATGCCACCCCAAGCTTTACACCCCATCACTCCAAATGCACAAGCCTGTCAGCACCAGCAGCTCCCCAGAGCCCTCACCACGCTCCCACCAGGCAGCTGAAGCATCTCTGAGAGACAGAATGAAGTCACTGATGAGACAGAATGAAGTCACCGATGCTAAGAGAAACCACAGCAGCAAGCAGCTGCTGGCTGTCTCAGCAAGGCATCCCCCAAAAGCAGAGCATCCCTGGCTTTTCCCTGGGGCTCTGCCCTGCCTGGGGTGCAGGGAGGCTGCAGGTGGCCCCGTGCAGGAGGAGCTGCCCACCTGCCCTGGCTCCTGATGGCAACCACACAGCAGCTCCAGCAGCAGGACCAGGCACAGCCCTGGCAGACTCCCAGCTATTTTTAGCAGCTGCTGCTGCAAAGGTTCATCTCTCATAATTAACTGAAAAGCCCACAAAGGATCTGCTCGCTGCCTTTCAGGCTCTATTTATAGGAGCTGCTCAGAGCTCCCAGTCATGGCGGGCTCACGGCAGGCTGCCTCGATCCATCTTCATAAACAAATTCATTAAAGCGCTTCCTCCGCTCCTGACGTGTGCATCCCTGCCCTGTGATCCC